TCCCTATTTCCTCTCCCTTTTTTCCACCCTTTCCCTACTTCCATTCCCCCCTTCTCCCTGTTCTTATCCTCTTCCCTCTTCCACTTCCACCCTATTCTTATCCTTTCTCCTTTCCTCTCTCTTCCTCCCCTATTCCTGTTCTCTTCCCTCTTCTTCTCATCCATTCTTATCCCCTTACCTCTGGGGATTCCGTACTTAGACTCTCAGCGAGTTGTTGCCAAGAAAGGAAAAAGGAAAAAGGAAAAGAAAAAGGAAAAAGAAAAAGAAAAGAAAAGAAAAGAAAAGAAAAGAAAAGAAAAGAAAAGAAAAGAAAAGAAAAGAAAAGAAAAGAAAAGAAGAGAGAGAGAGAGAAGAGAGAGAAGAGAAGAGAAGAGAAAAGAAAAGAAAAGAAAAGAAAAGAAAGAAAAGCAAAGCAGAGAAAAAAAGAAAAAGAAAAAGAAAAAGAAAATAAAGGAAAAAGAAAAAGAAAGGGGAAATGGGGAATATAAGCTAATGGTCGTTATCACTGAAGCAGAGGTCGTCGTTATGGTCGTTACTTGTTATAAACCGAAGTAGAGGTCGTAGTTTTAGTTCGTAGTTTAAGTCGTTAGTTGCGCGTGAAGTAGTGGTTGTAGATTCAGTTCGTAGTTTAAAAGACACTGCCCACTTTACTTCAGGAAACAGAACACCGACGCATGAATGGTTCTGAAATTACTCGTAACAACACTCGCATGGTAATAATAACAGTAATGACACTAATTATGCTAACACGCGGGAAACGGTAACCCGAGGAAATGAGAAGAACAAAGCAGCAAAGAACGGAAACAGACACGAACGCATGACGTCAATGTGAAAAAAAAGAAAAAAAAAAAGAAGAAAAGAAATAATAATGGTAATAATAGTAACTGAAAAGTCTCACACAAGACGGATGGAAATGAACACCGACAAGTGCAAATGAACAACCCCAAAGCACCGCACAAACACGCTCGCAAAACATCCCAATTCCCCCAATTAACAGAACAAACCCCCTCCTCCTCCTCCTCCTCTTCCCCTCCCCTCTCCCCTCCTCCACCCTTCGTCTCCCTTCCCCCACCCCCTTCCTTCTTCCCTCCTCCACCCCCTCCCTTCGTCTCCCTTCCTCCACCCTCTCCCTTCCTTCTCCCCTCCTCCACCCCCCTTCCTTCTCCCCTCCTCTGCCACCCTCCCTTCCTCTCTCCTCTTCCACCCCCTTCCACCCCTCAATATACCTTCTTCTCCAGCTCCAACCCGAAGCCTCCCCCTCCCCTCTCTTCCCCTTTCCCCTCCCCTACGCCCCCAACCCCAAACCTGCCCCACTCCCCCCTCTCGTCCCTCCCTTCCCTTCCCTTCCCCTCCATCCCCATCCCCAACCGCAACCATCTTCTCGCTCTTCTCTCCATTTCTCCCAATCTTAGAGAACGAATGAGAAACATACAAGAACAAGAAAAAAAAAGAAAAAAAGAAAAAGAAAATCGTACATGCACCGTCATCCCAACGCGCGCAGTGAGAGTTAAGCGAACCTCGAAGGGCGGAAACGTTATGCAACAACCTAGCCAACTGGACCTTAGTCGCTCCTGCAGCTACTCCGTCACCCTCCCCCCTCCCCCCCCCCCCCCCACCTCCCACCCCCTCCCTCCCTCATTCCACATGCTGGGTTGTCAAGGATGCTACTTCCACGCACACTGCATAACACATGATTGCTGAACTTGGGCTTGGATACGACGTCGAGAAATATCGGTTGTGACCATTACTACTATGGGTAAGGGACTGATTTTTTTTTCTTTTCTTTTACTTTTTCTCTTTTTTTTTTTTTTTACATTTCCTCCTCTTCCCCACTCATCTCCCCCCCCCACCCCATTCCCCTTCTCCCCTTTGCCGTTCACCTCCTACGCCCTTCTCCACTCCACCTCCCCGACTCCTCTTCTTCCCCACCTCCTCTTCATCCTCGCACCCTTCTCCTTCTTCCCATATTTTCCTCCTCCTCCCTTCTCCTTCCCTCTCTTCCTCCCACTTTCTACCCTCAAGACGATTCTAAAAAAAATTACAGCGCGGAGTAAGCATCGCTCTCTCCCCCCCCCCCCCATCAATAACACACTTGCAAACCATTCAACCCCCAACCTTCCCTTCGGCATTTTCCCACACACCCATTCACCCAAAATAATGAAAGGGTGGAAGGTGCTGTGGGGAAAGGGGGGGGGGGAGGGGGGGAGAACAAATGGAGATGGACGAGCAAAGGAGGAGGTGAGTAAGGCAGAGAAAAGGGGAAAAGGGAAATAGAGTAGGGATGGAGGATGGGGGAAGAAAGGAACAGAGGAGAGAGAAAAGGAAGTGGGGAAGGGAGGGGAGGGGAGGGGGGGCGGAGGCAAGATGAAAGAGGCGATGAAGGAAGGAAAGGGTGTAGGAAGAGAAAAACAAGATGAAGGGACGGGACCAGGGTGCCACGGACACCCCGCCATCGCCCTCCCCTTCTCCCTTCCCCTCTTCTTCCCTCATCTTACCCCTCTGTCCCTCTTCCTTCTCCTCCTTTCCCTCCTTCCTTCCCTCTATTCCCCCTCCCTCCTCCTCCTCATCCTCTTACCCCCTTTTCCCTTCCTCCCATCGCCGACCAGGCCACACCCCCCTTGACCCCGCTCCGCCCGCATGCGCCCTCGCCGTCGCCGCCTACGTCATCGTCATCGTCATCGCAATGTCCGGCGTCATCTCGGTGTCACGGCGCCGTCACCAGTCCCGCCGTAACGAGGTGGAATTCCCGATGCGCTATTTTGGCTCGTTGGCGAATACCCGCATGCTCGCTCGCTCGCTCGCTCTTGTTTGTGTGTGTGTGTGTGTGTGTGTGTGTGTGTGTGTGTGTGTGTGTGTGTGTGTGTGTGTGTGTGTGTGTGTGTGTGTGTGTGTGTGTGTGTGTGTGTGTGTGTATGTATTAGATGTGTATTAGGTGCATGTATGTTTTCATGTATGCAAGTATGTATATATGGGTATACATATATTGCTTATTATACATTACATAAATATCATACATAAACATATAGATATAGATAATTGTAAATAACGAAACATAATAAATACACACACACACACACACACACACACACACACACACACACACACCAACCAAACATGGACAACAAGCCAGATCACATAAGTGTTGTATTCAAGAGAGCAAAACTAGACCACTCGAAGGAGAACAAGTACAAGCAAGGAATGAAAAAAAATAAACATATAAAAGGAATAACGCAAAAAATAGACGAGGAAACGAGACGAAAATGTTGATCATTTCCGAGCGAATCAAGGACGCCGGTTCCGTTAAGTAATGAATTATAGCTTTCTATTTGCATGTATCAATATACACATAAAATATATAACGAAATATATTTTTTTTCAGTGATTACGAAGAAGATAGGAGAGAGGGTGGGGGGGAATGAAAGAGGTAGGAAGAGGAGGGGCTTTGCGCGAGAATCTGAGCACGTTTATGTGTGTGTGTGTGTGTGTGTGTGTGTGTGTGTGTGTGTGTGTGTGTGTGTGTGTGTGTGTGTGTGTGTGTGTGTGTGTGTGTGTGTGTGTGTGTGTGTGTGTGTGTGTGTGTGTGTGTGTGTGTGTGTGTGTGTGTGTGTGTGTGTGTATGCGTGCATGTTTGAGTGTGTGTGTGTATGCGTGCATGTTTGAGTGTGCGTGCGTGCGTGTGTATGCGAATGCGAGTAAAGGTGTTGCAAACAGTAGAGCCGTGGCGGGCGCTGCACGTGCACCCGGTCGCCACCCACGCTTCCTCCAGCTGACTCGCGCTCGAGGCAGATGTAAACACCGAGCGCCCGAGAGACCCCCCACCCAGCCCCTCCCCCCCCGCACCACCAGAAACGCCAACGCCCCAACCGTAACATTCGATCAGATCATCAGCATGAGTAGGAACAATTAAAGAATAAATCTAAAAGCTAATCATTTGTATACCTGAATACAAATCGCTGCCACTACTAGCCATTAGCCTCGATCTACAAAAGGCTACCTATTACCTCCCCCCCCCCTACTAATAGTACTCCCACTAGCCACTACCTGCTAGCCGCTAGTAGATATCCTTGCCCTACAAAGGCAGAATCCTCGCCCGCCACCGCCTTCCGGCCACGCCCATCACGAATCTTCCCACGCCCATAGGACACTCTCCTCAAGGCAGTCGCGGGCGGGGAGACCGTGGGGGACTAGGCCACTGCAAACGGGGGATGGGGGGGGGGGGCAAACAAACAAATAAATAGAGTGTGAGAGAGAATAGGGATAAAGAAGCGACGAAAGGATGGGATGGTTTACGAATGGAGATAACAGGAAATGGAGATAATAGGAAATAGAGATAATAGCCAAAGATGAGTAGCGATAGGCTTGACTTAGTCCTAATACTAAGTATTACTATTAGCCCCCCCCCCCCCGCCGCCACCCCTTCCTCCCTTACCTTGTCCTCCTCCTCCTCCTCCTCCTCCTCCTCCTCTACCTTTATCCTTCTCCTCCTCCCCCTTGGTCCTCTTCCTCCTCTCCCTTTCCCCCCTCCTCTACTTTGTAATCCTCCTCCTCTCCCTTGTCCTCCTAACCCTATACTTTTGTCCTCCTCCTCCTCTCCCTTTGCCCTACTCCTGCTATAAATTGTCCTCCTTCTCTTCACAATAATAACAATAATAACAATAATAATAATTAAGCAATTACACCACACCAATTACACAACTACTACAACAGCAACATCATCATCATCATCATCATCATCATCATCATCATCATCATCATCATCATCATCATCATCATCATCATCATCATAATAATAATAATAATAATAATAACAACAACAATAATAGCAATAACACTGGCGAAGATGCCGACGACGATGACAACGAAACAAAAACAGCAACAACAACAAACATAACACCAGCACCGTCCCGAAATGGCCGCCAACTAAGTGCTTCCTGCCTTTGTCAAACAGGAACAAACAAACCGTGGCACAGAAGAAGAAATTTGAACTTGCATCTTCAAAA